AAACATGTGATTTTCCCAAGACATTTGAAGAGGAGAAAGCCTGATTTTTTAGTATTTATATAAATCAGTGGTTACTCCCTAACCTAATCTTTCAAATTTTAAACATGTGATTTTCCCAAGACATTTGAAGAGGAGAAAGCCTGATTTTTTAATCTTTATATAAATCAGTGGTTATTCCCTAACCTAATCTTTCAGAGTATAATCTTTTATATAAATCAGTGGTTACCCCCTAACCTAATCTTTCAGAGTATAAGCCTGAAGGCATAACTCACATGGGAGAACAAGAGAGTGATGAGACAGCAACCATCCGTAGCTGCATCAGCTTTGGACAAGAACTCTGATCTTACCTTTCCTTTCTGGAATTCCTATCTTCACAAAAGAGCTGAATTTAAAATATGTCTAATAAACTGATTTAAGGAGAAGTATGTATTAAACACAAACTCTGACATAAGCAATTATGAATATCAAAAAGCTACTAACTTAAAAAATACAAAAAAGGGAGAAAAACCTGAATTACAGAAAAGTCAAATTTATTTAATGAAAAACTAGAATAAAAATTAGCAAATACACACACACACACACACACACACACACACACACACACACACACACGCAAAAAAAAAAAACAAAAAAAAACAAAAAAAAACCAGCAGCACTATGTATTGACTCACAAAGGGGAAGGCAGTGGTCCATGACCACGCAGATGGCTTGTCAGTTAAAGGAAAACCAACCACACACGTGCACACGCGCGCAGACACGCCCCCAAAAAATTTGTTTTCAACAATACAATCATCTACAACAAACACAAAGTTCAGAAATATTTTACAATGCTTCCTTTCTTAATACAAAAGTTGCCCATCTTGGGTGTATATATATATATTTTTTTTTCAGTGGTTTACTGTTGAATTATTTTTAAATATATTAGTGTTATTACATGCAACTGTTTCCTGTATTTAACAGCCTTTCTTTTATTTACCTTCATGTGTCTAGCTTCTACCTACCCAGAGTCTTAGGTTGGCAAGCAGATGGTGCTTTATTCTCTGTAAAGTCAAATGCAAGTTTGAAACACTGGCCAGAAATGTTTGATTGCCATTTCAACACATGGAAATAGTTACATTGATGCCTAAATTGCCGTTTTCTGCAAAGAGCTGTGCAATGCTGGTATCAAAGACTAGGCAGTCACTATTCATAATGGCTGTTGCAATTCCCTCATGAATAGATCTCGGAGTAGCTTCCCAAGTCAATCGCCGCCTATGACCATTTAGCTCAAGTCGATAAGCAAAATTTTCCGCTTGCTTGCGTGTTCCTATCAGCTGTACAATCGCGAAGAACTGCTGGTGGCCATCGTATTTTTCCTGTTTCTCTAGGACTAGCATAAAATGAAAGCCAAAACAAGACTGCATCATCACCCAGTCAACAGCACCAGGAAGGTTAATGTCCGTAGCAAGGAAAACTATGTCTTCTCCCTGGAGGGTTGTAATGGACTTGTGTTGATGCATCAGGTGGGGCATGACAGCATCCAAGGAGCCTTGCCACTTACAGGAAGCACCAGGGCAGGGACAGGAATAAGGCCTGAACTCACAGAGCTCCTCGTGGTCTGCTTTCTCTGTATGTGGCAGAGTTATTTCACATCCAGAAGAGGCATATTTACAAGGGAAAAGTACTGAATTGGCCACTTTCTCCATAGCCAAGTTGCGAATGGATCCCAACGGGCCGCGGCAGGTTGGACAACACGTGAGTTTTGGGCGACAGTTGCTACAAACAAGATGGCCACTCTGACACTGAAGAATGGGTGGTAACACATAGTCAAAGCAAACGGGACACTCAAAAAGACTCGCCAAGTCATTGTTGGATGCAGTTGTGCCAGTCAGGGCAGGCACCCTCTGGGATGGTGGACACTTTGAAGTGCCAGTGGGTAATGCTGTAGCAGTCTGACGGCTCATTTCTGTAAAAAAAAAAAAAAAGAAGAAGAAGAAAATAAAAGGAGGCAAGAGAACAATTACACCTGTAAGTTATTCTTATAAATAATGTACACATGCCAGAGATAGTCCTAAAATTAACTTATTCTTGTAAATAATGTACACATGCCAGAGATAGTCCTAAAATTTCATGTAAAATTTCCTGTGAACAGGAAAAAAAAAAAAAAAAAAAACATGGCTTAAAAATAAGAATTAGGCTAGAGATGGCTCTGCAGTTAAGAGCACTGGCTGCTCCTTGCAGAGTTCCCAGGTTTAGTTCCCAGCACCCACATGGCAGCTAACCATAACTCTAGTTCCAGGCGATCCAACACCCTCTCTCTTCTAACCTCCGTGGGCATGCATGACATGGGCGCACTTACATACATGCAGGCAAATACTCATATATATCAAATAAAAAATATTTTTTAAAGAAAAATAAGTATATATTCCAGCCCAGCCATACAGCTCAACAATTAAAGGTACCTGCTGCTAAGCCAAGCCTGATGAACCAAGATGGATTTGAGCCAACTCCCACCAAGATGTCCTCCACAAACATGTCATGACACCTGGCACCAGCGCGCCACCACCCTCACATACATAACACACATATGCACAAACCAAAACATAATAAAATGTACAAAAAAATATGCAAATAAGTTACGTGCTAAATGTTAATTTTTATTGTTGAAACTGTTACGAGTAAACCTTTTCAAAGTATTCTAGAACATATTTATAATTCCCTTCGGTTAAAAAAAAAAAAAAAGGTACTGAAATTTTTTAGATGAACTACACAGAATAAGAAATGCTAAAATAGGTGTGCTAAAAGGTGTGGTGGCACACACCTTTGATCCCAGCAGAGGCAGGCGGATCTCTGGGAGTTCGAAACCAGCCTAGTCTCCATAGCAAATCCAGGCCAGCTGGGGCTACAGGGAGACCCTGTCTCAAAAGGATCAGAAAAAAAAAAAAAAAAAAGGGAAGAAATGCTAAAATGAAAATTGAATCACAAAGAACCATGAGAGACACTGTTAAGAACTTAAATACAGGGGCTGGAGAGATGACTCAGTGGTTAAGAACACTGACTGTTCTTGCAGAAGACCCGGGTTCGAATCCCAGCACCCACAAGGCTGCTAACTGTCCGTAACTCCAGTTCCAGGGGATCCGACAGCCTCTCTGTCCTCTGAGGGCCTTGCATGACACGGGTATACTTACTTACATGCAGGCGTAACACTCATACACATAAAAATAAAATATTTTTTAAAAATTAGAAAAAAAAAGAGCTTAAATACAATAAAATTCATTTTGAATGGACTTTTTCTCCCATTTCTAAAAGTCTCTACCTCCATCCACTCTAGACAGCTTCAGGACTTAAAGGATAAGTCCCATGCAGTTTATCTGCCAAAAACCATCAGAGTACTGACTTAGAGCAACTCTTCCTAGCAGTAAATAGCATCTTCTGCAGAGGTACATTTTGGGAACAGGGCTCAGGGAGTCACAGGGGAGGAACTGCTGCCATCCCATTATCTGCCTGCATCTCCTAAATTTTTTCTCCAATTAGCCAGGTATTATTTTATTTCAATCAGTTCCCACCTCAAAGGTTAGGGAGATAAGGGAGAAAAGGAGAGCCGACCTTAAGTAAACATTATTGCTATAGTGTTTAGAGAGTGTCTCACTCTACTCCACTTCCATTCTGCAACTAAATCTCATATAATACAAGAGGAAAGGGGACTCAAACTAAAGGTAAAAGCACCACAGAGACACAAAAACTGGGTGGAGATGAGGGATAGATTCAATGGGTAAAGAACTCCTGGGAGGTCACCAATGTGGCTGCAGTTTCACCACAACTATAAACATGACTTCACAAATGTCATCTGGAGAAAGGTCAGCTAGTGCAGGCGACCCCAATATAAGCAAAATCAGCTCCTTTACCCAGAAATCTGCCTTTGCTGGGGTATGGCAAGCCATTATTTGTCTCCGAAGTTGTCAAAAGATCAATGTCCTAAAGAGTGCAGCCGGTGACTACATTAAGCTCTAATTCTACTTTACAGCCTCAGATTTATTATTTCCTCTCAATAATAATCATTCTACGACAAAGAACTTACAAATGTGACCAAGTTAAATATAAACTGGGTTGATTCCTAATTGCTCCAGGTTATCAGGAGACACTGTAAATGATGGTCCTGGGAGTGGTACAGAAGGGTTTTTAATTATTTTGTGACTAAAACAATAACTGAATTCAAAGGGTAAAAAAGTGTTAGCAAGTATCAAGGTGGGCATGGTGGCACACGCCTTTAGTCCCAGCACTCCAGAGGCAGGTGGATCTTTGAGCTCGAAACCACCTCGTTCTACAGAACGAGTTCTGGGTCAGCTGGGGCTACAGAGAGACCCTGTCTCAAGAAGAACAAGTATTTAGCACGTAGGAAGCCCTCCAATTTCACCCCAACACACACAGAGAGTGTAATGAAATTCCATCACAATGTCTCAGAGTCATAGTATGGACATGGAACAACATAAAGTCAACCCTCATCATCTGGAGCCCTGTGTAATCCTGGTGAGACTATGGAAGAGCTCTCCTGTAATCCAGCTTCCTTCTGAGGAAATACTTTATGCATATGATGATCCATCCATTTTAGATGAATTTTAAAATAATGGGCTTGGCATTGCCAAAACACATCTGTTGTTCCACATCTACTCCACTGTATGTTATATGCAGCTCAGTTAAAGGAACATCACAGTAACTAGAACTTGGTTCCTTGAACACAAAACAGCTGCCACTGCTTTTCACGTTACAATTTACATCAGAGGGCTCGGTTTATAAACACGATGTAGTCACTGTGCAAGAGAAATACTTGCTCAATTTCTTGACCTAGCAAAGTACTTCTAACATTTAACAGCAAAAGTTCAGAATGATATTACAATGCATTTTTATTACCTTCCAAACACTGTAGAAAGTGCACATTTCTATTCAAAGTGTGATAAATAAATGAAATTAACTTGAACAGTCTGTGCTCCTTGGGAATGGTATTACAGTCGAGAAAACTGCTAAAACGTCCCAGAGTTAAAAAGGTGGAACATAACTCCATCTTGAGCCCCAAAAGGAAATCTCAACCATGCAGCAGAAACCAAGGATAAACCCTGCAGAAGCCCTGACATAACCTGAAGTTTGATTTAAAGTACAGTAGTTCAACTGAACCCTCACTGCGACCTCATAAAGCCTGAAAGGTGCAGCAGCCGTGAGCCAAAGCACTGCTTTACACTGTCCAGCTCGCGCTTCAGGAACCCGCTCCTTTAATGTCGATACCTTTCTTCTTCCTCGTCCTAGCCCTTGGCAAGCAAGTGAGCAGGACTCCCCTCCACAAGTGCAGAAATTGTCCCGGCGGCTTTCCAGTCATGAGCAGGTGGAAGGCACGGCGCGGTCTGCCAGCCGCAAGGACAGCAGCCTGCAGGAGAGGCCCCTGCGAGGCCAGAGCACAACCGCTCCAGGTCGCGCCTGGGGTCCGGCTCCTCGCCATCCACTCCCAGGGCAGGGCGAAGAAGGCCCTGTCCCAGAAGGACCCACACCTCCTCAAAGCTGAGCAGCCCTAGGCAGAGCAGCTCACAAGCTAGTCTTCCCCAGCCTCAGGGGCTGGGCACCCCAGGACGGAGGAAAGGAGGGGCTGGGGCTGCAAGGAGCAGGCCACCACCTGGAGCAGGGCCTCCGGGAGCCCAGGAAGGCCGGCAGGCTGGTGCGCAGGGAGGATCAGGAGCGCAGGAAGGAGTCTGCAGGCCCGCGGGGCGGGGCCCTGAGAGGGGGAGGGCTGCCCAAGCCCCGCCCGCCAGCCTGGCACCCTCCACCTGCCTGCCTGCTCAAGCAGGCGCCACCCCGACCACGAGAAGCCTCAGCACTTGGCAGCCGTTTAAGTCAGGTGGAACGCTGTTTCTGGAGGTCAAATGGTCTCGGCAGTTTCTTAAGGTTTCAATACAGGAAATATCTGGAACGTATGAGAAGTGTGCATCCACTCAAGGGCACTTAACAGGATTACACTTTCCAAGTTAACCATCAACACTGGTGTTTTCACTGAGTAAAAGCTTTCTCCCTAACTCACCCAATACTTAGCAGGCCTCAACTACCATTTCCCTCAATTCTAACTTCACTTCTGTGGCCAGCGTATTTTAAACTCCCCCTTCTTGTGTACTGAGAATACTAAGCACTCAAGACTTAAACTCATACTTATGCCAAATTGAGATTATATTCTCTTCCCACTCTGGGAAAACTTTCTTAAATGGCATCATTAAACTAGAGTAGCTTGCTTTGTTTTTAAACAAGCGTTTTACCCTTGCCCATAAAGTCCTGTGGGCTTCAAGCTTGGACTGTGTGTCTGCTAGAGAGAGCTTCAAGTTTAACCTGGCCTTACATCATGCTCAGAACAGCCTTCAAACACAAAGGAGAACTGATAGTGAGTCCCGTACATTACCCTCTTGAGCAACTCAACCCAGGTCACTTCCCCACATTTACTTTTTTCGATCACTTCAACCTCATTTTAACATTAGACTGCACAAGGCATCTTCAGAAACAGAAATACAACTGGAAACAGATACTGTCTGCCTCACAGACTAATGTTATGATAACCTGTTTGTTGTTTTTTTGTCTTTGAGACAGGGTCTCCCTGTGGCCCCAACTGGCTTAGAACTCACTATGTAGACCAGGCTGGCCTCAAACTCAGAGATCCATCTGCCTCTGCCTCCCTAGTGCTGGGATTAAAGGCATGCACCACCACACCCAGCCCGAAAACCTCTATTTTAGTGTTGGTGGCATTTTTTTTTCTTTTCTTTCTTTCTTTTTTTTTTTCAATCAAGGGTCTCTCTCCCTGTAGCTCCAGATGACCTGGTACTTGCTATGCATGCCAGGCTGGCCTAGATGTCACAGAAATCCACCTGTGGTGGGATTAAAGATGTGGGCCACCACACCCAGAGAACCTGTATTTTAAATATTCTAATGTGTATTAACTCTAGGTAGGTCTTAAATTTTCTAGAAATTTCAACAGAGCAACTCACAAGCACAATTTAGAGAACTCAAATACCTACAACAAGCTAAGGGGGAGGCTGATTATCCACAAACAAAAGACGCTCAATTTACTGCCTGCTAAATACCCCAATAACATCCTGACAGCAAGATTTAATAATCTGAAGCGGTGGAGAAAACCCAGGAAAAGGAGCAAAGATGGGGACAGCAAGGAGAGAACAAAGCCAACTCCAATTTATTTGAAAAGCATTTGCTTTACTTCCAAAATTCCATTTGAGACTTCCACTGGAGAAACAAATCCCTACTTAGAACTTCAATAGTTGATAAAATGTAGAATAACAAGAGTCACCTCCTAGCAGTTGAAAAGGAAGAACGGGCCCCCAGACTGTAGCAGTTCACAAGCTTATTGTGCTTACCAACCATCTAGGAGTCTTGTGAAAAATGCAGATTCTAACTTTGCAAGTCTGAAATTGGACCTGACACTCTGTATTTCAAACTATGGAGGTTTTTTGTTTTGTTTTGTTTTGGATTCAAGCTCAAGTGTAACCAGCCTCGCCTGGCCAGAATGAACATTTTCTAAAGGGATCCCCAGGCTCCCTTTTTAGCTAGCAGACTACCCAAAGAGGGAACCAACCCCAAGATACTAGAATTTCCTGAAGCTAGAGGCAACAGTGGAACAGCAGGAACCCTAGAAAAAGATTTACTGTCCTTCAGATGACCTCCAGCACAGACAAGGATCTCAGACAACAGCAGGTGCCAGGGCAGAATGCTGTTACGCTTCTCTCTTGCCTTCAAGGTAAGCCCTACCCTCCCTTAGGATAAGATGGACCCTCTTCCCAATCTGGCCATACTGAATCAATCTTTCTCTACTTTTCACTTTTATTTGATTAAAGTTGGTTTAATCAATGACAGGTGTGACCCTGAGTCTAGGAACACAAGGGTCTCAAATATGAGGACCACCACAGCTGACTTTCTGCATTTTTTCTTTTTTTTGGGGGGGGGGTCTTTTTGAGACAGGGTCTCCCTGTAGCCCCAGCTGGCCTGGAACCCGCTATGTAGAGCAGGCTAGCCTCAAACTCAGAGCTCCACCTGCCTCTGCCTCAGAGGGCTGGGATTAAAATCATCCAGAAATGGTAGTCCTAGCCTAGCATAGTAGGGCAAGCCTCTAATCCCAAACTTCAGAGGGAAGATGGGGGAGGAAGGGCTAAAACCCTTGAAATCTTTTAAGTGTCTTCTTTGCTAATGAGATGTCTGATGGTTTGGAACTGCAAATTAGCTAAAGAACAGAACTAATCCCTATGGAACATACTCTGTCATTCAAAACATGACATTTCAGCTACTGGATTTTCAGAGGGGAGCTTCTTGGCTAGAGGTAAGATTTGAATGCTATTTATACAGTGAAGTCTACATAAAACCGTACAAGGACAGAACCTGGAGAATCTCCAGACAGAAGGAAACACGGAAATGTGGGAGGGTATGCACATTCTTCCGCCTGACTGTTCATGTGCATTCTTCAGAGAACATTTCTGACAAATACAATAGTGTCCCTGATTCCTGGAAGGAAGGAGTCTTGTGACTCCTTTATCCAGCCATAATTTATTGTTGGTCAGAAGTATAGGTTACAATCTGAGACTTAAGTCTGGCATCTGAAGTCAGGGGTCAGCCTTATGAGACTCAGACCTCCTGCTGTGGGATGGAACTTCAGGGAGAGGGTGCAGAACCGAATTAAAGGGCACCCATTGGTGTTGGCTGGAGAGCACAGGCTGTAGTAAAACCTCCACATAGCTGAGGTTCAATGTTCTTAAGAGAAAAGCAGAAAAAGTGATATTTTTCCCTGCTACCTTCAGCAAGGTACAATGACTATAGTTTTTAAATCATACCATAAGAAAACAGTGAGATTAACAGTAGAGTACCAATCCCAGCCATGAGGAGATTTCTGCAAAGCGGGTGTTGTCTGAGACTTAACACGTAGAAAAGAGAAGTGGATGGAGCTGGAAGGTTTGCAGACTTTTCTCTTTTCTGCCTTTAGAAGAGACCAGAACAAAGTGAACATTGAAGAACAGTAAACAGGGAGAAGCCGAATAAGCGAAGAACAGAGCAATGCTGTTGTTGTCGTCGTCGTCGTCCTCCTCCTCCTCCCCGTCCCCCTCCAGTTATTGGTCTGGTGTGTTCCTTTGTCTTTCACTTTTTTTTTTTCTCTTGAGACAGGGTCTCCCTGTAGCCCCAGGTGTCCTGGAACTCACTAGGTAGACCAGGCTGGCCTGGAACTCACTGTGTAGACCACGCTGGCTTTGAACTCACAGAGATCGGCCTGCCTCTGCTGGGATTAAAGGCAAGAGCCACCTCCCCCGGTGAAATAGAGCGATGTTGTTAGTGAAGCTTTGGTGGGTCTGGTCAGTAATCCCAGCTACTTTGGAGGCTGAGCAGGAGGACCACAGTACAGAGCTAAAGCAAATTCAAGAGCAGCCTGGGCAACCTAATGAGACCCTGTCTCAAAAACAAAAACTAAAAATGACTGGGGATGTAGCTCAGGGGCACAGTGCTTACCTAGCTGGTGGGAGGAACTCTGCTCGATAAACTTCCTGTAAGAGCCAAGAACAGAGGAAACAAAGCCCGGTGGTGCATTCCTTTAACCTGAGTCCCAGGCCTATACAGTCTACATATTAGCCACTTCCAGACCAGCCAGGGGGCACACAGTGAGACCCCATCTTAAAAAATGGGAAAAGAGCCAGGCGTGGCGCACGCCTGTAGTTCCAACACTTGGGAGGCAGAGGCAGGCAGATCTCTGTGAATTCAAGGCCAGCCTGAACAGTCAGAACAAAGAAAAGAGTGTATATGGTTAGGCTGTAGAAGGCTAAGAAAACTTCGGAGTTTTCAATTTTCTCTATTACAAAGAAATCCTCTCTGGATAGGAGGCAGGTGCTGAGGAGGAGGAGAAAGATGGAGGTTTTGGAGAGGTCCCTCCTAAATGAACTCATAGCAGTTCTTTCTTTTTTGTTTAGGTCATGCCAAGGCACTGCAGAGAGAAGCAAGTCTATCAAAGGTTAAGACCCCTAAACCTACTGCCTCTCTTCAACCCAAAGAAAGATAATCTGCCATTAGCTTAATATGTTCTCCATGAGAGTACACCAAAACCAAGACTGTCTAAATGAGAAGCTGGAAAGATGACTCAGTGGTAAAGAACACTTGCCACTCAATCATAAGGACCAGGGCTCAAATCCCAGCACTCACATCAGCCAGTTCACAAAGGCCTCAAATTCCAGCTCCGAGGAATTCAACACTCTCTTCTGGACTATATAGGTAGGACCCACACAGGCACAAAGCACACAGACACATGCACACACACAAATAAAACAATTTTTTCAAGAATACCTAAATGAGTCTCAGCAACATCAAGTGCTGCTG